TCACAGTGCTGGCTACGGTCCTTCCCTGGGAGGTGCTGATCTCCAGGCCTGCTCAGAATCCTGAAGTCCCAGGCTGATCTCCCAGTAATCATTTAGCATTTTTGTGTAGGGCTAGTTGGGGAAGATTATTAATATAATGAATTAAAATGACATTCTAAGCTAAGCCACTCCGGGGTTTTTTGGGGGGGCAGGGGAGAGGGTGGCGAGTGGAACTTGACAGCCTTTCGCTAGGTCTCATGCTCTTCTTGGTCAATGGATAATGTAGCCCTTTACCATGCACTATCTCTCCCCCTGGTTTCTCAGGTAAATTCCTTTAAACTACCCCAACTGTGGTTAAACCCACTATTTCACAGGCTCCATGCTTGTATGTATGCAGGAGAAAAACATACAACCACACATGAACTGCATGTGTGACTTTGCATGCAAGTCTCTTTATTAAAGAGAACTTTTCAACTTCTTTTAGAAGTCTTCTAAGTGGAAGAATTCAAGAAATTGGAGTTTGTGATTTGCTGAGGAAGGGAAACATAGAAAACAACAACAAAAACCCCAAACAAGCCTACCTATACCTTCGGCATGTAAGACAGCTGAGGTCATACTGCAAATGGAGATTTAAATTTGGGCTCAATTAATTTCCTCTGTAGTTACAGCCCCTACATCCTTCTTGGGGAGAGAGTTCTGTGGTCAAATCAGTTTGGCAAGTCTCCTTCTTGGCGATTCATGACACACTTCATTTATGTAATCATTTAACAAATACTCAATGAGCTCTTTCTATGAGTTAGGCTTTATGCCAGGTTCTGGGAGGGGAACGAGGAAAAACAAACAAACAAACCCAATTGCTGCTTTCATGGAGCTTATATTCTAACAGGGAGATGGACATTAATCAAATAGCTAAATAAATAATGTCTAATTACAGACCTAGGTAAGTTTTATAAAAGAAAATAACATGCTTATAGGTGTGGACAGAAAAGGAATTCTATGGAAAGTAGCCTTACAGGGCGTCTGATCATAAATTCCTAACTAGGCAGGTGATGGTGAGTAGTCACACTCCGGGCATATAACTTCTTTATTAAAGGTTTATCTTTGCCTTAAGCCAGCCCTGTCCATTGTTTCTGAGTGTTGGGGTTAACACACCTTTGAAATGCCCCCTTTCAGACCCCTCCTTCTCATAGGTGACCACCCTCAAGAGAGCACAAAATCTTAACTATTTTGTAACCCAATCCTTGCCTTGTGTTCTCCCACCTCCATGTAATCTTCTTTAAGTTCCCACCTTAATCTCAAATGCGTAAAAGAAACTGCAAACAGTTATTCTTGGGAGCGTTTGAGATTTTGCTTCCGGCATATGTCATCAGTTTGGCTCAAATAAACTCATAAAAATTCTCTGCAGGTTTGGACATTTCTTATGTCAAACATAGAAAAGCTAGGCCAGAGGTCAGGGAAAGTTTTCCTGAAGACACAAGCAGATATCTGAAGTTGGATAAGAATAAGCATTAACTAGAGCAAGGGCCAAATCTAGATGCTGTATGATGATCAATAGAAATATAATGTGAGCCACATATATAATTAAAAGTTCTCCAGCAACCACATTATAAAAAGTAAAAAAAGAAAGATGAAATTAATTTTAGCATCGTATTTTACTTAACACAGTAGATCCAAAATATTGTTATTTCAACATTTAACCAACATAAAGATTACGAGTGCAGTAATATATATTTTTCTTTATATAAATATATATTTGTTTTAAGTCTTTGCAATCTGGTGTGTATTTTACACTCAAGGGACATCTCAGTCCAGACTAGCTACATTTCGAGTGTTCGATAGCCACAGCTAGCTCGTGGGTCGGACGGTACTGGATAGCACAGATAGAGGAACAGAAGACGAGGCCAGTAAGGCAGGAAGGCAGAGAGAGACAGGGAGGGCGGTGAAAGATGGGGTGGTGCCACCCACCTAGGGGTGCTCTGCCTAATTGTTTTGCCCCTAGCATTTGCTCAATAAGCATCTGGTGATCAAGTCTTCTTAGTTGTAAGCAATAGGATCTCTGGCTCATTTATGCAAAAAAGGAACTCATTAAAACGATATTGGGTAGCAACCACAATCTCTTCAGGAAAGAAAAACCAGGCTCGGCAGATATACTCAGGCAGACTGATCCGGTGGTGACCCCACTGGTGGTAACCTCACTGCTGCCACAGAAAGCCGGAGCTGGCTGCCTCTGCTGCTGCCCCATTAGCAGAGTGGAGTGCATCCAGCTGCACTAGCTTCCAGTTCAGAATTTGGTAGGCTGAGTTTAAATGGGAAATTCTAGCTACAAAGGAGGATAGAAAGGTGTGTGTTTGCTTTTCAGCCTCTGTAGTGGAAAGGTGTGTGTTTGCTTTTCAGCCTCTGTAGTGGAAAGTGGGCTCCTCTCACAAGAAGGGGATTCATTCCTCCAACCTAAGAAAGTGTATTCAGATGTTGGGCAGCCAGAAAGAACAACCGGAGTCCTTTGCTAGAGTAGCCTGAGACCTTGAAATTTTGACTACAACGCAAACAGAAGTTTCTGCTGGAACTCCCCAGGCAGGGACTTCATCTACACAGGAGGCTCCCCAGATTTCCCTGTGGCTCTTCTGGAAAGTATGGTGCATGACAAACAGTTGATGTTATACATGACTCTAATGCCGCGACTATAATTTCATTATGTTCTTGAAAGTTCTCACATGATATTTTAATAGAGAGACATAGGAGGACATTCTAACCAACCAGCAATCAAACTTAAATGCTTTCATAATCTTGGCAGTTCACAAATGGATGTTGATTTTGTTGAACCTGTCCCCCCTGCAGCGAGATAACCAACTTTGCAGGAATACCTAGCTCCCTTAGGGGATCTCACTATAACCTGTGACAAAGGTCCCCAACATATATCCTCCACACTGTCCACTTATGGTTCTAGGGACTCTAGCTTTAAGCAACTCAGAACAGAGAAGGGGCTTTTTGCCTCATAAGTTACCTACTGCCTCAGCTACTGATAAGGTGGAGACATTGTACCCAGGGGCTCATAGTTAGAGGTTAACTGGCCAAATTAAACCTAGAGCGGAGGAGAGAGACCAGACTGTCAAGATTTCCTTCAAACCTGCAGCCTGTCCCCGTGACTCAGTTTTTCCATCTGTAAAATGGAGATAATCCTGATTTATATCTGTGTAGTTTGCCAATAGAGGAGAGCAGGAGAAGGACAGAAGCCACATACCTGGAGGGGCCATTTACCATCGCATAAAGTGCATTTTAGACTTAAAAAAATTAAGCAGCCTGCTTCTCGTTAATGAATTATAGCACGCAGGAGAGACAAAGCGTTCTCCGTGGGAAGCCAAAGTAACAAAAGTAGAGAGGATAGGTCGGAACAAGAACTGGTCCTCGGGACTGGTTTCTTTACACCATTCTTCCAGGGAGGAGGCGGCGCGGGGCTGCTGGGGTGGTTTTCCTCCTCAGGCGGGAGTGGGACCAGCTCCCGGTGACGGCCAGGTACTGGCAGCCAAAGGTGCAGTCTTGCAGTGCCAGCTCAGGCTGGCAGGAACCCAGCGGGTTGGCGGTGCGCAGCCCTGCGGCGGCGCTTTCTTCCTCTCCCACAGCCCTGGCGTCTCTAAGGGTTGTTGAGGCGCAGCCCGCTCCAGGTGTCCTGGCCGCCGCCCTTCGGGCTCGGCTCCGGCTCCTCTGCACCAGACGCGGACTCTGGGCCGAGTTCTCCCGCGCTCGCCACCTTCGGTCCCGGGGTCACCCGGGCGGAGCCGAAGCCGGGACCCGAGACCTGAGGGAGGAGCAGGGACCCGGATCAAATAAAAGGAAAGAAAGAAGGGGGAAAAGATGAGAAGAAGAAACTGCTTAATTCCACTTAACAGATAGTTGCGCGCGTCCGCTGAGACCCAGCGCTAGTCACGTGCCTGAGACCCCTAAGCTCGGCTCACTGTTCCTTTGGAGAGTGTTGCCTGGTGTCCTCCCAATCCTCCACGCCCAAGTTAAGAGGGCTCACCACATGGCAGGCGCCGCACTAGGCGCGCTATTCCATTATCTCTTTTAATTTCCCCCGACATCCCTAAGCGGTAGGAACTGGTACCACGGGTATTGGGGACGAAGAAAAGACCTTGGAGAAGCTGAGCCGCTGAGCCGCTCGCAGCGAGTTTTGCAGCCGGTGGCGGAGCGAGGACTCCCAGAAGGGTCTGTGCAATCCTGACGCCGCAGCCACAGTCCTCAGTCCGTCAGCTCTGCCGGGTTATGTCTATTAACTCTGTCTACACCTGTTGCGGGCTTCGCTGGGCTGGAGTGAAGGGAGGACCAAAGGGGCCACCAGGTGGCTCTTCCCCATCCGGACCCTTGGCCAGGGGTGCGGAGAGATCATTCCGGGCGCGGGGGTGGCTTTGCGCCTTGGAGAGGATGACCTTCCTTCTCCAGGGATCTCGTCCACAGCGGACGCAGGGTTTCCGGGCAATGGTCCCCCTGGGGCGGCGGGGGAGAACGAAGAGTCTGGGGTCTGGGAGTGGGCACTAGGAGAAAGTGGGGTGGCTGGAGCGCGGCAGCCCGCGCACGGAGCAGGCTGGGCGAACTCAAGGCTGCGCGTGCAAAGAGTCCACGTGGTGGGTGTGCGGCGCTTTCATTCAAACTTTGGGGAGTCTCGGTTCTGGCGTCAGCGAAGGTGTGACCAATCAGAGTCCGGGGACGGGAATAAATTATGCAAATCACCATCTGGCGATGGGTCAGATGACTCCGATAGTTTAAAAACTTACCTCGCGGGGAGCTCGCAGTGTGACAGTGGCGAGCCCTTGCTTTCCGGGCTGGCGACACCGGTGAGGGCAGATCTGGTTCTGGTCAAGTCCCTTCACACTCCCTCCACCGCCTGGCTGCTCAGTTTAGCCAGGTTTTAATTTTTCACTTTTTCCACCTTCAGCTGTCTGGTCAAGAGAAGGTGCCCACTTCGAGTCTTATCCGCTCGGAGTGCTAGAAACCCAGAGAGCCAGAGAGGCATTTTTTTTTTTTTTTTAAACCCTGATTCGTGGAAGGGGGTGTGGCGGGGAAGGATGAGAAAGTTCATTCCTCTGCTCTGCCTCTGGAGTGTCTATTGTTGCTTTGCCGCGGGAGGCCCCGCAACCCTTGGTCCAGAGGGACCGCTGCAAGGTAACGTGCACTTCTTTTTATTACCCCATCAACTGCTTTTCTGTGCCGGACCCCTCTGTCTTGACCGGTTTTCAGTCCCTCCTGGTTCCTGCAGAATCCTTCCTTTCTTGATGCGCTATTTGCTCCTCATCAGCCTTGCAGTTCACTTGTTCCTTCGCGCTTCTGACGAGGGCATCCCTAGTAGAGCATCGAGAGGTCGCAGGCTGGCGGGTGCCCTCGTCCGCTCGCTCTCGCCTTACCCTCCCCTCTTCCATTAAGTGGGTCCCTTGATCCGTGCTGTCCAGTCAGCCCGACTGGCTGGCCAGCAGCTCTCCGAGCTTGTCCTCCCTCATCTTTGAACCTGGAGGTTTGCGAGTCAAGAAAGTTGTCAGAAAGAGCTCTCTTACAAGGCACTCCTCCTTCTCGTCTCGGTGTGTTTTGCAAGTTAAGGTGGCAGGAAGTATCTGGTGAGCGACTTGTGCCCAGAAACTGCTGGGTTCATTCCCCCAGGTCGCCAGCCTCCTCCTCCTC